CTTTTACCCTTCATGGTTTTTACGCTGCAGTGCATAAAGGAATTTGATGCTACGCTCTTGTTCAATCAACTTTGCAAAATATCGCCTTACCAGTAAGGATTTGGCGAAATAATGAATCTGAATTGAATAACGTTCCCGTTCGGTTGCACCGTTCACACTGGAACGCTGGCGTGTTCCACTCTGTGCATAGAACCTTCCAGACAGCGTTCCGTTGGTAACGCGTGTTCCTAGTGGAACGCCCCTCCCCCTGCTGTTACATTTGCAATTGGGAAGGAAGATTTTTGGCATTCATTTTCTAGACGCTGTGTCTGAAGCACGGCAACTGGAGCACAGCATTTTGTGATATACTCTTAACTTTACCATGCAATGGATTTAGAATATTTCTGGACACTGGTAATTTTATTGTGTTAATGTTAACATCTGTACTCGCGAGTGTTTTTTCATCGTCGGTCTTGCGTGGTAGAGGGGTTTACCATTGCAATGTTTCCACGCATGAGGATTCCATCATATGAGAAACAATTTGGAAGCCTAACCTGTAATTGAAGGGATGTGGGGTGAGGTCTTCAAAAATCACGAAAAGGTTGAACAACGCGACGAAGACAATTTTGCTCGAATGTTTGGGTCTTTTTAATAGCGTGGCAGTTTCGACTGCTACGGCTATTTGTAGAGAGTTTAAGATTCGCTATTTAACAATTTCTGTGACGTCACTCCTTTATTCAAAGTGTAGATTAATTTTTAACGAATCTACAGTTATTGTAGATTGGTAACGACGAGGAAGTGCCCCTAGTGCCCCCTCGCCCGTTTCGGTCAAAATAGTTGTGACCGGAGGGTTCGGGAAGACCTTTTTTTTAAATGGTGCTCTCAGCTACTCAGGCTATTTGCGCCAACAGCTATATGTTTATTCATAACTTTTATAAAATCAGCATCACGTTACAGAGTTAGGAAGAAGTTCCAGTATTAGAGGCAGGAGGAAACCGGAGTACCCGGAGAAAACCCGTAAGAGCGACTACGGACTGGAAACCAAATGCACTTAAAGCCTGGGCCAAGCCAGGACTCGAACCTGGGCCTCGGTGCCAAAGCGAGGAAAGAATCGTCACGCTAAACAACTCCCCCAACTTAAGTATTGCGCTATGACACTGATTCTACTGGGCCTCATAACAAGCACAGTGGGCATATTTGAGGGATATCAGGAACACCCACACTCCGCTCTGTGTGTATGTCAATGTTTCATGTAGCCAAAATCTCTATTCCGGGAATAAATGTTAACTTGGCACGTCTAGGAATAGAGATATCTGTATACGCGGATAAAATATTATTAATTTTGCACGCCATGCTCAACGTACACTTAGAATCAGCATGGGACGAAGTGGCTTTTATAGCTATGGAACCACGTGATTACCCACTACAGCGTAATCCTCGCTTGAAACAGTGTTTAGAAACAACAGACGACTTGGCCTCTGGAACAGCATGCGTACTCAAATTAAACTTAGGAAGTGGTTCATATTTGGACAACACAACGTAATTTGAAAGAGTTAATTATGCAAATACTTCAAAAATACATTTATTCTTGTAACTAAACTTGCCATGATCCCTGACTCGATGGTAAACCCGCATGGTATTAACCCTCATATCGACTCAATTTTTCAAGCTCCCTATTACAGATTTGCATTTCCATAAGCTTCTGTATACGATTTGAATAATTCTGCATGAGTATAATACCTTATATTTCACCGTGAGTCCGAAAACAAGTACAAGGTGTTTTATGCAAGTAAAAGTACTACGAGACTACGAGTACACAACCAGTACATGTACTTTGAAATTAATTAATTCAAACACAAGAGCAACTTGACTTCAATTGGCAAGTTGAGGTGTGTTTGAAGATGGGGGATCTTAGATCTGGAAGCCGAACTGTACATAGATTTTAAAAAGTGTGAAATTCCTCCCCTTTTCATAACATTAAATATTTTCATACGGACTACATTTAAAACCCTCGGTCACACCTTCAATTACTGAATACGCACTTTCGTATAGACACAAATCTAGAACTAATTATCTTTATTTGTTCCAAATTGGAGCACTAAACTTTTCACCACAACCTTTATCACCGTTAGTGGGGTTAATAATGGTTATATTTGTAGTGAGCACTGATATAAAAAAACCACAGCCGTGACCTTTTACGGTCTACAGACCAGTCGAAGTTCATGCCTGGTACTGCACTTCAAGGGCTATATGCTTTGTGCATGTTTTACCACGCTATCTATCCCTAGATACTATATAGGACTCCCCTTCCCAAGTAACCTTTCAGGGTGGTGAGAGATATACTAAGGTGGGATTACCTGGGAGGACTTGGCTTGTGGATGACTCATTACCCAGAAATGCCTGTTGTTTTGTTTGTTGGGTTGTTTGTTTGTTTTAATTTGTACGAGATGCCAATTCTGTACGGCGGCTATCTAATACCGAGGGTAAGAAATAATTTCAGAGTTTTCGTACAGGACTGAACCTGTAATTGCAGATCAATTTCTACCTCTCCGAATCATGCACGCTGCGCCACATATAGTGCAAGGATATCTTAGGATTTGTGTTTGTTAAATATCATGGGTACCAAGTTTCACGGCGTACCGTTATTATTACATGTATTGGGCCTATTCATTTCTGGTAAAGACACCAAATGATCCTCAAAGAACCCTATAGGCACTGTAGCTCACAAGCCTCAAGATACCCGTAGAGAGGAGACTGTAATAAGCAGTTAAGTTTTAGAGGTGGGAGGAAAACCCCAGAAGAATATTCTGGGTAAAACCCACGGACTCAGGTAGGGAATGAAAACCCAATCCATATGTGGACCGGGCCGAGATTCGAACCCAGACTGCAGAGGCCGGTGGAAGGCGAGGAAAGAACCACTACGCCAACCTGACTCCCCTGACCGTCTCCAGATCTGTATCACGAATTCGGCAATGCAGTTTACAAACAGGCCAAAATCTTTCACTGGGTGATATCTGAGCTGTTTTTCCCATGCATGGAAACCTAATATGATCAAGACAAAAGTACATGTGGACTAATATTGGGGACGCCAAACCCTCTCCAACAAGTAGTTATAAAGCCATCAGAAATTTCACCAATCGAACTGCATACTAGGTTCGACCCTCTTTCGTTCTAACCTCCACCTCGACAAAAGCTCATAACATCATACGCTGCCGACACAGCGACAAAACGCATATTGTGGGATTTAAAAGCAGACCGAGCAGTTGACTCGAGAAATCGGCATTTTATTACAGAACCAAAAAACAACAACATTGCAGGAAGGTATTTGCGTGTTTTACAACGACATTACATACAAATTCTATTACAGTCATTTGCAAAAGTTTAGGACCACACATAAAAAAAATGTATTTACCTGAAGGAAAACCAAACTTAAACCAATCAATCATGGCAACTTGTGTTAATTTCCAATGTGTAACCTTGGTTGAACATTTTTGAGTACATTTCCATGATTTGACATGTTAACAGTCTAATATTCAGTCTACCCTCACTTTTTTCTGATTGCTTAGACTGGTTTTTTTTACCCATGCTGCCTCGCAGACAAAATGTCATACAAGACCTCCCTTCGCAAAAAATTTAATTCAAATGGGTATATAGCACTACACTGATGTTATGTACCACTGTAAAAGACAGTGTAATGCAGGCCCAGTCACAGATATACCAATAACATTCAAGGTGGTCTTAAACTTTTGCAAATGACTGTAATATGTTACCAAATCTCCAAGACTAACAAAACCTATAGCCCGGGATTAGTACAAAACTTTGGCAAAACCCCGTGACAATGCAAGGGTTGCAAGCAACTTGGAGACATTAAACTCTACTTTGGCAAGATTTCAGGTACAGATGTGCTGATTAGGTTTTAAATATTTTTTTGGAAAAAGGAACGTGCTAGTGGTGTGTGGTTGTAGGCTAGAATGACTTGTTCGTCACTGTCTCACCCTTACTATACTGTTCATATACAAGTGACCCCGCATCAGCGTTGCAGAGAGCGTGCATTCTGACTTGCATGCTTAACCAATTGCACTTTTTTGTCTGAAATTTTTGCCTGTTGTGCTGCGTACTATAACCTGGAAAAATCGTTAAATGCTCAGGCGACTTCGAAAATTTCTATTTTCACTAATACCAAGTGATACGCGTTGAATCCGTTACGAACAAATCTGGGAAAAAATCTTGGTTACAATATATTATTTACAAAGTACTTTCAATGGCACAGCGGAACTGTGTCAGTACAGCAGGCGATATCTGTTATCGATGTTTTTGAGTGAAAGAGCTTTTATTGTGATTATCTGAAGGAATCGCAGACATGTAAATTGATCCGGCTATGACGACAATCTTCACAAGCACTGATTCTCAAGCCATCACACAGGTCCTTTTCAATTTTTAGTAGAAGACGATTACTTCACCAATGTCACTAATCACTTCCAAATCACACGAAAGTACAACTCGATAAATACTGGAAAATTGTTATCTGAAAACAAAATTTACAAACCGACCC